CTGAAGGGCCCAATTTGCTTGCCAATAGCATGGAAAGTGACTTAAAGCCTGTTGAGAGCTGAGCAAGCAGCATTGTACCCTCTTGGACCCCTCCTCCACGTGGAGTGCCAAAATGCAGTGACGTGGGTTGCCCTGACCTGGCCAATATGTAAGGCTCCGCCCCTTACTACCTAACAGGTGTGCCTAGACAAAGAAATATGGCCCAAATGAAGGAACACATCAAAGCTCCAGAAAAAATAAAACTAAATGATGAAGAGATAGCTAACCTATCAGATGCACAGTTCCAAACACTGGTAATCAGGATGCTCACAGAAATGGTTGAGTATGGTTGCAAAATAGAGGAAGTAGTGACTATACAAAGTGAAATAAAGAAAAATGTACAAGGAACCAACAGTGAGGGGAAGGAAACCAGGAAGCAAATCAAAGGGGCTTGGGAAGAGGCATAACTACAGGTATACATTCAGTAATAGTAAACACAAAGATTCCTTCTTTCTTCTACCAGAAGGAAGAAATAAAGATTCATCCAGAACAGAATGAAGAAACAAGAATTCAAAAAAAATGAGGATAGGCTTAGGAACTTCCAGGACAACTTTAAACATTCCAACATCCGAATCATAGGGGTGCCAGAAGAAGGAGAGGAAGAGCAAGAAGTTGAAAACTTATTTTAAAAAATAATGAAGGAGAACTTCCCCAATCTGGCAAAGGAAATAGACTTCCGGGAAGTCCAGGAAGCTCAGAGAGTTTCAAGAAGTTGCACCCAAGGAAGCACACACCAAGGCACATCATAATTACATTACACAAGATTAAAGATAAGGAGAGAATCTGAAAAGCAGCAAGAGAAAAGGAAAGAGTTACCTGTAGAGGAGTTCCCATAAGACTATGAGCTTTCTCAAAAGAAAGGTTTCTCAAAAGAAATAATTCCTCAAAAGAAATGTTACAGGCAAGAAGGGATTGGAAAGAAATATTCAAAGTCATGAAAGGCAAGGACCTGCATCCAAGACTACTCTGTTCAGCAAAGCTATCACTTAAAATGGAAGGGCAAATAAAGTGCTTCCCAGATAAGGTCAAGTTAAAGGAGTTCATTATCATAGAGCCCTTATTATATGAAATGTTAAAGGGACTGATCTAAGAAACAAAAGAAGATCAAAACTATGAACAGTAAAATGACAAGAAACTTACAGCTATCAATGTAAAAACAAACGCAAACTGAACGCAAAAACAAACACAAAAATAATGCAAAAACAAACACAAACTAAGAAAGCAACTAGAACAGGAACAGAATCAAAGAAATATAGATCACATAGAGGGTTATCAGAAGGGAGGCCAGGAGAATGGAGGAAAAGGTACAGTGAATAAGAAGCATAAATGGTAGGTACAAAATAGACAGGGGGAAGTTAATAGTATGAGAAATGGAGAAGCCAAAGAACTTATATGTATTATGCATGGATGCGAACTAAGGGGTGGGGGTGGGGAATGATGGTGGAAGGGGGGTGGAGGGTGAAGGGGAATAAAAGGGGTAAAAAAAATAGGACCACTCTAATAACAATCAATAAAATATATCTTAAAAATATGAAACCCCCAAACCTCTCTCATGCATCCTTTGAAACTCTACTTGCTCTCACCTTTCTAGATGTGAACACTTCCAACATTTAACATCATAGATTGATTTTGACTATCTTTTTGTTTTATCTAAATGGAATCATAGTGTGTTCTCAGTTGTGTCTGATTTCTTTCACTCAATATTAACTTTGTGAAATTATTCATGTTAGTGAATAGCTTTTTTTTTGCTGTGTTTTCTGGTAAATTCTAATACAGAATTTTTAAAAAGCAAATATTCAAGTGTAACCATCAGCCCAGAATCTTCTATTGTGCCCTCTATTAACCTAAAAGTAAAAGGACAAATTAAAAAATCATTTAAAAAATATTTCTGAAGTACTTCTGAATCAAGTATTGAGAGTTTCATAACAGCTTACGCAATGAATATAGAATTATATATAGAATCTAGAATTTCTAAATTTAGAATTGGGAGGTCATCTCCTAATTTTTCCCCAGGTAGTTATTTTTTGTTCTCAGAACATTGGTATAGTCAGTTCTGGGTCACAGTTTAAGACAAAAACTTATTGAGCTTAATCAGAAGTCCAAAAGTGAGGAGCAACATGTCCTCAGTAAAGCTATGAGGATAACGCTCCTACATCTCCCTAATCCCAGTGTTCTCTCTAAAAGTAGAGGATTAACGATGACCTGTATTTTTACATTAATGATGAGTTGATTTGTATTTCACTTTCTTCTCCTAGAGGGCTTAAATACAGAATTTATAAAACCTGATTCTACTCTATGTACTTTGTGATGGTCAGAGAAATCCTAGTGATAATATTATGCTCATCTTTCCCACTGGTTGCACAGGGATTAACTAATAAAGAGGATTGTGAGGTGTCTTGCTGAAGAAATGCTTAATTACTGGATGATTTAAGTGCTGGGAAAACTTGTTCTAATTGTTTTGCTTTCATTAACCATCACTAGGAACAAAGTTTGGGCTTGTTCATTTTGAGATATTCATTTAAGAATTAGAGAAGGTGTTATCTCCTTGTTAACTTGACTGCGAGATGACAAAATTAATACACTTGGCACCTGCATACTTGATTATTATTTTCTAATTTTAAACAAAAAAATTAATAAAGACAAAGAGCAATGGCCCCTCATTAACTAAATATAAGATTCTCATATCCAGGTCTGAGGTTAAGTGCAGCCCCTGTGTGTGCATGCGTGCCTGTGTGCACCCATGCATGTGTGGTATTTCTTTTTTTACATGTAGAGACTTTCTGTAGAAAATATGTATGTCTGCGTCTGAGAGACTGATCAGAATGAACTAACTACCCATGATAAAACAGAAATCTTGACAGAAAAGAACAGAAATGTGGTGAGAAAGAAATTTCAAAAGTTTTTCTAAAGGTATGAAATATATGTCTTGACAACTGCTATCAGACATTGTGAAGAAAGTGTCTAGGAGAGCCATCAGTGGTGACTCCAAAGAGGAAAAGCAGACCCTCTGACACAGCTGGCCAGATGGTGCCAGCAGGGAGTGTCCTCTCTGGCATAGCTGACAGTGTCCTGAGTCCTTCTTGAATCACAGGGGGGTTGGAGAGTTAATTTGATTTTAATCTATGGGGTGGGGTCACTTTTATCTTTTATACAAACAATGATCCTTTTACCATTGTTATGCTTTCCTTGGAGAAAGCTGAACAAAAGCTTTAATCTTTTTCAGCCTTACAGTAGCAGTCACTTACATTCTCTTCTGATCTAAATACCAGTCATTCCACACACACATTAGCTACAAAGTCCTTTCACAAAGGCTTATTGAAGCCTGGGGCAAGACAGGTTTCACCATCCTGTTTTACAGATGTGATGACAGTTGGAGGGGAACTGGGTGTGGCTAAGTTATATCTAAAGAATCATCTGATATAGGTATACAATCCAAACCCATTACCTCCCACTTTCCAAATTTTATAAACACAGGAAGCTTGCAGTTGCTAGGAATGGGGAAAATACACTGGGTTTGGAGTTGACATTTTTTTCCACTGCTTAGGGTCTGGGGCTGATGAAAAGTGATCAGCCAAAAAACAAGCCACAGCGGAGTACAGGAAAGCAGGGATCTTCACCACTTGATTTTCAGGACCTGAATAAGACACCCTGGGTTGCAATGTGAACCATTAGCAGTTGTCAGATAGGAAATTCCCTGCCACTAATTCTCAAATATTAGCACAACTGGAAGAAAAAAGACAGCATTAAAAAAAAAAAAAGCATAGAAAATTTGATAATCCCTCTTTATTTGGATCTAGAAACGCAGCCCAAAATATAAACACTGAAGTGAAACTTGTTCTTTAGCACCAAGAATGACTCAACGCAAGACCAACTCTTTCCCCCCAAAACATGGGGTCAGACAGTCCTGGATTCAAATTCTGACACTGCTACTGGTAAGTTCTGAAAACTTGGCCATGTGACTGAACCTTTCTGTACTTTGGTTGCTTGATGGATACATTGAAGACATTTACAGAACTTATCTCATTGAGTGATTGTGTGATTTAAAAGATATATATAATAAACCAATACCTGACTATTGTCATTATTGATATTTAATACATTTCTCACTCTATCAGATCCAAAGCCATTTTCTAACTAATTATGCTTACTGTCTAAGAGATTTATTTACCCCATAGTTCCTTGTTTTGTGAGCTTGTTTTCTTTTTTTTTTCTTAAGATTTTATTTATTCATTTTTAGACAGAGGGAAAAGGAGGGAGAAAGAGAGAGAAACATCAATATGTGGTTGCAACTCACATGCTTCCTACTGGGGGCCCTGGCCTGCAAACCATGAGTCCTGACTGGGAATCGAACTGGTGACCCTTTGGTTCTCAGCCAGCACTCAGTCCACTGAGCCATACCAACCAGGGATGTGAGCTTGTTTTCTTAATGAATATGGCTCATCTCCTCAAGTCACAGGCAATCTTTGAAGGGTGGAGATCTATTTTCTTGGGCCTTTTTAGAGTGCTCAGCACTCTGTCATGTACACAGTGGGTGTTTCATAAGATATTTCTAGATTAATGTCACTTCAGTATCCACCTCTAACCTCATTCCCACTTTCTCCTTGGTACTGAGAGCTTTAGAATCAATGGAAAAGGCCCGCAGGTAGAAGGGAGTTGGGGCAGAGTCCACCAGTATTTCTGGAAAAAACATGAATTTATAAATCAAGTTGGCCTAGACTAGATATATTTTAGTCATTAGTTATATCCTTGAGCATAAGTGGAGAAAATAATTTCTACCTCATAGGGTTCTTATTAGGGTAAGTAATATATGTTGGCATGTAGGGTGGACTTAGCAAGTGTTAAATCTTTTTCTTATTTCCTCTATATTTTGATGACATCAGTGAAATGCAAAACGATTATATAAATTTTCCCTTCCAATAGAGATGCCATTACTAGGTTTGGACAGTTACTAACACAATTACCTTTGAGACACCTAATCCGTGTTCGTACATATAAGCCAGATTGAACATGGCTTGTGCGTTGTGGTATTTGTGAGCTGCAATGCTGTAATGTGTGGCTGCTGTTTGATAGTCCTCCTTAGTCCCGTAGCCATAGTAATGGTAATCTCCAACTTTTATTCTAGCAAATGCATTGCCTGATAGAAATATTAGAAAGAGAAGAACTCAAATGATTCATATACATTTCCTAGTAACTCAGCCTAATGAATATACTGTGTTTTTCAGACTATAAGTCACACTCCGCACACATCGCCCCACCCCAAATTTGGGAGGAGTAATGGTTGTTAATGTTGCTGTTGAGTTCCGTTTACATTTACATTGGTGAAATATTATGTTATTTACGTCATTAAATATTTTACCACTTTTTTTGCTTCAAAAATTTCCCCCTATTTTCCTACTTTAAAATCTAGGTGCATCTTAGGGTCCAAAGAATAGTGTGTGTGTGAAAATTTATACTCAGAATCTAAGAATCAGAATCAGATATAATTTTTGGAATACAAAACATAACATTCACTGCTAGTAATCTCTGTGGGGTAACTTTCATGTTATGGTATAAATGTTCTTAAAACATAAAAAAATTGTGAATCTTATTTTCTAATTTTGTGTTTTGAAGGTAGGTCAGCTCTGGGGAAACTGGATCCCACCCCCTCCCATTCTCATATTTCACTTATAATCTTTACTCCCCTGAATCATGTGTTTCTCCTTTTCCTAGATCAATTCAATCAGTCATTCAAACATACTTGGTATTTTCCATGAAGAAAAATCCTTTCAATTTCCCACAGTGTCTTCTAACTACTCCCATTTTCTATTCCTTTCACACTAACCATCTCCAAAGCTTCACCTCTGATAGACTCTTTAACCCACTCCAATCTAGCATCTGGCTCCCTCTTGCATAAAACTACTACTTTCAAGGTTGTCAATAACCTCCATGCAGCCAGATCCATTGGCCACTTCCCTGTCCTTGGCCCACTGGACCTCTAAGCAGCACTGCAGTCATTAGATCTATCTTCTCAAGCACTTTTATCTCTTGACATCATGACATTGCAGCTTCTTGATTTCCCTCCTGCCTCATAAGCCTCCCTTTTCTAATCCTTGCCTGACTTCTTCTCTACCCAACTTCTAAAATTTGAAATATCAAAGGCTCGTTATTTGACTCATTTTCCCCTTTCTTCTCTCCCTTCTTTTATCTCCTCCCCACCCCCTTCTCTTTCCACTACTCTCCTGTATCTCAACTCTTTCTCTACATTATCTCATCTAGTTCTGTTGCTATCTTTGTGTTTACTATTACTGAATGTATACCTGTAGTTCTGTCTCTTCCCAAGCCCCAGACTCTTATAACTATCTTATTGACTTCTCTACTTGGATCTGAATCATAAAACATTAAAAATAGAACAACTGTAATGGCATAACTAATAAAATATATTAAAAAAAAGAGATTCTTAACACCCTGCACTCCCTCCCCCAAACAAAATCAGTTTCCTCCCTATCTCAGAGCCAGTACCACTGATGTTCAGGGCATAAATCTAGAAAAATTATTTCTAATTCTTTTACCCAATTTCCATCACCAAATCTATCCACAAGTTGGTTCTACTTCTAAAACACACTTGTTTCTTGCATTCTCTTCCACATCTAGTCCAAGCTTGGAATACTATAATAGCCTCCAAATTATTCTTGTATCAACATTTTCTCTGCACAACAGCCAAGATGATCTTTAAAAATGTAAAATTTAATCATGTCATTCCCATGTTAAATCCTCCATGTGCTTTATTTTGCACTTGCAATAATATCCAGACTCCTTACCTAACTAACCTACAAGTCATGCTTCATCTACCTTCTGACTACCTTACCTCCCTGACTAGCTTTATCTCATGTCACTTTCTTGATATGCTCTAGCCTTCTTAACAATTCTTAATATTCCTTCAACACACTTAGCTTATTTTTGCCTTAAGATCTCTGCAGTAAGATTCCTCAAGTCCCTCTACCTGACAAGTTTAGTATTTCTCTGACTCTTCATGTGGCTAGTTTCTCATAATTCAGGCCTCACCACAAATGTCACTTCCCTCCCAGACGCCTGGTCTCAGGGATCTGCTCAGCCTTCATCATGTAGTTATCTATCTTATCTCTATATTTTATTTCCTTCACAGCACATATGACAGTTATTTTATATGTTTACTAGTTTAGTTTCTCTCTTTCTCATGAGGATGAGAACTTGTAAGCTCTGGATCACTAGCATAGTCCTAGAACTAGAATGGTACTTGATAAGTATTTGTGAAATGAATGGATACACATGGTAGAAAAATTTTAGAAAATGCTTTCCCCAGATATTAAGTACTTTAGAATCTTAGTTTCCAACAAGCATGAATAAATTCAAGAGTAGAAAATTTCATATGACATTTTATGATACAAGACTTCCGTGTTTGTTTTTTTTTAAGATCTCTTAGGGATAACCTCTAAGGGTTTCTTTGGGGTACATGGTTCCACCCACTAGGACAATGCTAATTGGAAAGATGAGGAAATGCTCATCTAGGACATTCATGTCAGCTGTGGCCAATCCCTCTAGCACAGTCTAGGCTTGCTTGGAAAAGAAGGAACTCCCCTGTGTGGTATGATTTGAAGTATATCATGAAGTGCTATAGAATTCCTTCCAGATTCCATTTGGTCTAGTGCAATGCCTAAAATCTTTTGGAATTGATTATTGTGGGCACTGAAGTTCTTTTAATCTTCTAGAATCCTCTATTAAAATGTAGTGCCATGAGCCATCTTTAGCTCTTTCTGAGCATAAAGTCCTTAAGCTGCCAAGATATTAGTTATCAGGGTTTGCTTACCAGGTGCTTCAGATGTGCAGGTAGCTGGCAGTATGGTCTTATGGAAATGATGCCCAGGAGAGGGGTCTACAGGGACCTGGAGAGGCAAGAAGCCCTGGGAGCCCTGAGGAGAAACCCACTCTATCTCTAATTTTGCCCAGAGGTACCTTCTTTTGACCCTAAGATTCCTTCTGTGCCATAAACACAAAAGGACAAGACTTCTGTACATTCTTGAGCTGTATGAGCAGTAAGCAGAACCCCAAAGTCCCTGAGGATAGAAAGCAGTGAACAAGTACGGTCTCTGGAGGATTTGGCTCCACCCTAATTAGGGAACTAACTGGGGGCATGTGGGGGTCCTGACAGGCTCCCAGGAGTCACTTGACAGTGATAGGGATTTTTCCTTCAATTATACAGTCACAAGATGGTGACTGACTCCTGATGGTTCAGCACCCTCCTCACATACAGTAACTGCTGAAAGAAACACTACCAGTGACTGATTAGAACTTTCATTACTAGGTTTTCTAACCTCAAGTGAGCTACATCTTTGGGGACATTCATGCCTGACCTCTCTTGTGACACATAATTATATTTAGTGGCCTGACATTATTGTATTGTTGAATTCTGTTTAATATTAATGTCCCCCCATTATCGATGGCTCTTTTCCCTGGTGAAATTTCCACACCATTTCCTGGCTTGGAATAAACTAGTATTTGCTGCAATTGAGCTAATTTGCCATACCTGAGAGGTTACTGGTGTCATTTCTCACTCCAAACAAGGTCTTTATTGCATTTAGAAAGCATAGACTTTTTTTGATTTAGGGAATTCCTCACTAAAATTGCATGGATGGCTTGCTGCTATGTCACCAGCTCAACTGGGTGAGAAGGCACCACTGCGACTTCTTCCTCTGCCTCGTATTAGCATCAGCTGAGAATCATTTTTTATCCCACTCACTTCTTGTAGAAAGGATGATTTGGCCTTAGCATGGGACAATTTTAAGAAATTTAATTGGAAGTAAAATTACCCTCTTACTGCGGGAGAGTTCCTCACATATACAAATGCCAACAGTGACAGTTTTGCAGTGTCTCTCTGCTCTTAGTAATAGAATTTTAGGGAAAGAATGGAACAAGACATAGTGATGCGAAGCTTCCCCACTAATGCTATCTTAACATTCCTTATCACATGTGATCCCTTCAAGTGGGGCATGAGAACTCCAGGAAAGGAAAGAGGATCTGGCCAGTTAACTCTTTTTTATTTTTTTGATGGTCACATGCTAATGGTTATAATCAAGATCTAAAGTTTTTAGTAATCATCAATGTGCTATTTTAAAAAAGAAATCAAATTAAGTCTTAGATCCATGTATATTTTTACTTATAAACTCATTAAGACATAGACCAATTTCTAATTAAATTCAGAAAAAGGTCAGCAAATGATTGAAGCCAGACCAAGAAAATTGATTTCTTGAATAAAACTCTCATGTTTCAAACAACTGTTCTGGTGCCATAGAGACAGAGCCACAGAATAATTCATATGGTTTGCTAAAGTGAGGACTTTGAGAATACCAAAGAAAAGAAATGACATGTAACCAAAGGCTAACCCTGATATCAGTACAATGTGAAATACCACCTACTTGATATTCTGCAACTCTCTGCCTATGTGCCCAAGAACTCAGCAGAAGCAAATGAGATGAATAATAGTGGACAGGGAACAGGTAATTTATCTAGGTTCTATACCTTGAATGGCAGCTCGGTTCCACAGGAGAAGTGCCATCGGATACATCTTCTCTTTTTCAATAATTTTAGCCTTTTCTAAAATAAAGGAGACATTCCATTAGGAAGATTTAAAATGCCCCTCTAGTAAAGTCACATATGAATATGTATGATTAGGGAATTTTAATTTATCTTACTAGATTCCAAAATGAATGCTGAATTGCTCTGAGCTACTTCATAGCCCATTTCTGCAAGTAGTGCATACTGAGCAAGAGAAGAATCTATATCACCATCCTTATAGGCAAAGTATGCTGCCAGGAATTTCTCAGCCCAGTGGCCTAGTTCACAGACACCTTTATAGAGCTGTATATGGGAAGAGAAATCAAATAGATTAGTTAGCCAATATACTTCATTCCAGGTAAAAGATAAATGACATCATTCCTCAGCTCCTGCTGGCCAGTCAGACAAGGATTTCTGATCTACAGCATGGCTTTTGCAAATGATTTAGGGTTAAGAATTAATACCTTTCATGGAGACGAAGATTATAAGTGGTCTTGTTTGTCTTGAGCTGAAACTTCCTGAGGCTTATTTTATGTTTTATAATACATTTTCCTGAGTTGGAGGCTATTTGTCAGGACAAGACTCTGTGGACCTCTGTTTTTAAACGAAGGGCCTTCCTGCGCACTGCTGCTCTGATAGGGGGAGTTATAAGGCCTAGCTGATGTGGAAAGGAGAGAATGAAGGGAAGACAGTGCCTGGGGGTGTAGGTGACGTAACCATGATGGAGCTGTGTAGAGTTCTATGGGGACAAACGTCAACTTAGCTGAACAGCTCTTATGTAACCAAAGAGGTTAGCCATACATAATTCATTAGGAGTTGGCAAAGGAGCAAATCTAAAGATAGATTATTATCTGGCAGCTTTTGAAATGAGTTTCAGACAGTCCAGATAGCAACATGGAGGCATTTATACTGGTGCAGTGGAAGTATTTAATAAATAAAAGAAAGGCATTAAGATTCTAAAAGCATTCTTTTGAAAAGTACATTCCTGGCTCAGGCTGAAATAATTCACTTTCTCAGTTGTCAACCAAATCATAAAATACTTAAGGATCCTGCTTTTGGGGAAGAAGCAAACTACATTTTCTAGGCTAGATCAAGCCTTTCATTTCCTAAGTTGCATTGCCCAATCCCACTAGAAGTGCCAAATTGCCCTGGTGATTCGATTGAAGACTGAAACAGAGCTCCTTAACTGAATTCTGAGAGAGCTCTGAACTGATGAAAAGCCAAATGCAAGAGCAGAGGGATCATTTCTCTTCCTCCATTTCCCGGTCTGAGTTACATCAGTGCTTTTCTCCCCTGACAACTGTCAGGGTACACATTGTCAACTGGAAGAAAAGACGTGATATCTATAAAATCAAAGGCATCAATAATTTCAGGGCAGTATCACTTTTTCTGTATGATAAATTGAAAGTACTTTAAAAACATCTCATCATTTACCTCCACAGCAGTTCTGCATGATCTCAGCACTCCTGTTCCTGTTGCGTACATCTCAGCCAGGTAATAAATGGCAAGGGGCTGTCCACTCTGAGATGCTGAGTAAAAGTATCTGAAGGCAAGTTTATAATCCTTCCATACTCCAGAGCCAGCTAAAAATTTAAATCATTTTGAGTCACCCCTTGTTTATTTTTTTCATATTATAATCTTTGTATATAATGGTCATAGTGATGCCTGCTATTTTAAATGGATGGGAAAAGCCAACCAAAAATTAAGCTGTTCTAGGGTTTTGGGGGTGGAGGGTTGAATTTGATTATAAGTAAGAATATGAAAACTTTCATTTATGAAAATACTCAGAAAAGTGAAGCACTGCTTAGTCTCATGAAAATATCTTCTCAATATAGTAAATAAAAATTAATAAATAGGAGAGCAAATGGTGGTCTCTGAAGACCAAAAGCCTCAGCATGATGTGTCTCTCTATCCTTGTCATACCTTTATACCAGGAAAGCAGTATAGCTCCTCCCAGCCATAACTATGGAGTTTGCAGCAGGCAGATCCTAGCTCTTGGAGGCTGTGCTGGTACTCAATTCAGGCTTGGAGCTAGGGGCAGTGAATTAACATACACTCAGCAGCTGGGACTCTGGTCCTGGCTCTTCTTTGAGAGTTGGGCACCTCTAGGCACTTCATTTGCAAAAGGAGGGGCTTTCAGTAGTTGGTCCTTAAATTCCCCTCCAGTACCAATGTTTCATAGCCTTTAGAAGCATGCCATGTAGTGGATATGAACAAATGCTCCAGGGGCAGATTGCTTGGATTTGAATATCAGCTTGACTGTGATCTTGGCCAAGAAGTTTAACCACAGTACAACTCACCTATAAACTGTGGGAAATCCCCTAGACATTTTGAGATAACTAAATGAGTTAATATATATAAAGACTAATAAGCATTAGCTATTACTATTACTCTTACTCTAGAAACTTAAATGAGTCTGATAGATCCTGAGCCTATGATTTGGAATAAACTAGAGAAATAAGGCCATCTTAGGTAACTCCCCAAGACAGTACAGAACAAGTCCTCCCTTGGACTTGAGCTACTGTGGAAAATGCCAGCTGACTTTTTGGCCACCTCTGACCTCTTGGGTGATGCAGCCTACTGTTACTCTAACCCACCCTCTGACAAGAAGGACTTAGTTCAGTGACTCAAGTTTGTTCATATCTCCTGGTACTTGCCTTGACCATGCCCCACAGTCCCCACAGAAATTATTACAAATATCCATGGCTTTCTAAGACCTCCTGCACCAATCACTCTACCTTTGCTCTTGGAAGCAATTTTTTAACTGATCACTGAGGAAATCTTCACCTGTCTCTTTCCCTCGTCCCTCAGATATACATATGTATCATCCTTTTCTCCCTGCCTTAATCTTTGAGTATGAGAAATCTCTCCTCTATGTCAAGCCACCCAACTTTTTCCATAACCTTTTTTCATCAACTATTTCATCTCTCCCATGATTCATTAACCACCTTTATTAATTGGTTTTCTTTCCTTTGTAAAAAATTATACTCACATCTCTCACCATCTTAAAATCAACTTCCTCTCGGTTCTTGGTCCTGTCATGCTACCATTACATCTCTCTCCTTCAATTTAAATGTGCTGCACTTCCAAAAGTAATTTTTACTCACCTACTTCCTCACTTTCCACTCACATTTCAACATGCTGTATCTGGCTGGCTTCTACATCAACCACTCCAATGACCTCACTAGCATCTCCAATATTGACAAGTCCATGGATACTTAACCTTCCTTCTTTCTTCCCTTCCTTCCTTTGAAAATTGAGAACCAGAGGTGCTCATTCATTTACTCTTTCTTGAAAGTTCTGTATTTGGGTTCCTTAAGATCACTTCCCCCCCTACTCCTTTGACCATATGTTTTTTAGCTTTTCTTTTGATATCTGCCCATCTTTTTAATATGACACCAAAGATCAGCAGATTTCTAATCATGACCCTCTGCTTCTCCTTCTCACACTCTCCTTTCCCTTGGAAATCTCAGCTGTTCTTAACACTTACAAGTTCGACGTTTCTTTTGAGTTTCATAACTTTCTTCTGGGTATGTGTATTGGATATCATAAGGTACCTCAAACTTAACCTTTCCAAAAGTGCACTTCCTGACTCTGTACCTCCTCTCCCAATTGGTGTTCTTTCCTTCTGTCTTCTTTACATTCCTTTTCAAATTGCTATCTGAGTGTTCTATCTAAACCACACACGAGTCCCTTGATTTTTGTTAAATAGAGTAGATTTAAAAATCATATTCATAGCACTTACAGTAGTACATGAAGCCTAATTGAAACTGTGCATTGGGCCATCCTTTGTCTGCAGCTTTCTGAAAATATTTAAGTGCTTCGGCATAATTCTGCAAGATAATTAATTATACTATATTACTCAGAGGTGTACGTATAACTCCATGGTACAACTGTCTTCCATTTTCTAAAAAGAGTATAGATAGTACTCTATGTGATTTAGGCTAATTAAAATAGTACTAGAAGTATTGTACATTTTATTTATTGGATTATACTAAAAATAATTATCTCATTTTTTATATAAACTGTGTCTTTTCTTATATTGACAGTAAGTTTTGTCAGATACTGGGAAAGGTCACTCAAAGATAGGTTATGCTAAGAAGATAAATTATCAAAAACGTCCTCAGGGTTAGACAATTTCTAAAGTTACCATTACATTAGATTATTATTCCTTAGGTAATGATTAGGGTTGCTATTCTTGTCTCAAGGTTGTTCTACATCTCTTTGGCAAATATTTCATTAGATCATTTTATTCTCTATTATGTTCAAATGATAAAGAAATTATTTAACTTACCACAGGAACTCCTTTTCCATAAAAATAAAGAAGGCCAAGCCCATGAAGACCAATTGCATTGCCCTAGAACAGTTTTAAAAGTCCAAGTAAAGCTCGAGAAGAATTAATGGTAAAGACAATGACTGAAAAAATCATTCAAACTACTTGACATTACACAGTAGGTAATTAATCAAGGCAGTTTAATCAGGCAGTTGGCAAGTTATTCTGACCCTGTCTAGTTTCTCTTTCATACCTTCATAACTCTTTTTAAAAAGATTTTTAAAAGATTGTATTTATTTATTTGTTTGTTTGTTTATTTATTTATAGAAGGAGGGGAAGGAAGGGAGAATGAGAGGGAGAGGAACATCAATGTGTGGTTGCCTCTCATGTGCCCCATATTGGGGACATGGCCTCAACCCAGGCATGTGCCCTCACTGGAAATCCAACTGGCCACCCTTTGGGTTGCAGGTAGGGTGCTGAATCCACTAAACCACACCAGCCAGGCTCATAACTCCTTCTGGCTGAAAAAAGGTAAATTAAAGTCAAATCTTTTCTCCATTCTTTCATTTAGCTTCTATTTAGTGCTTGCTTTGTGTGTGAGTCCATAAAAGGCATAGTGCAGATTTAGAAGGTAAAAGTTAGAAGATGAATACAATAATCCTTGCCTAGTGGGCTAACTCACTAGGTAGGCCCTCTTAAAGTGGTCATGTCAAATGTGGTTATCCCTGTAGTAGAAATAGATCGAGTGCATTGCGGGTGACTAGAAGAGGGACACTCAAAGTCCTGGATGAGACTAGAGTCTGCGGGGATTGAGTAGTCAGAAATAGTTAAATTTGACCTAGGTTTTGAAGGGTATATAGAAGTTTTCCTGAAGGGAATGTCTATGCAGAAATTTGTTACCTGCTTTGGTCAAAGAAGATGATCACAAATGCCCAGTAATATTTAAGGAAGTATTAATTTTAATGAGTCATTATGCATAGTCAAGCATTGTTGGAATATGTTTCTTTATTCAAATTTGACTCCTTATAATATCACCATGTTTTCTTTTCCATTTGATTATTAATTACAATTTCTTTTTCTGATTTGTGTTCTGAATAGTCTAGGGAATAGAGTATTCAGCACTTTAGCATTTTGCACATGTTCAAATATATTTATATTTAGCATATTAATCCTTAAAGGAAGTAAACCTTGAAAGTAATTTCCCCACCAGAAAATTGGCTTTTTCTTTCTTTAAAAATTGTTTTAAAGATTTTTATTTATTTATTTTTAGAGAGAGGAGAAGGGAGGGAAAAAAAGAGGGAGAGAAACATTGATGTGAAAGAGAAACATCCATTGGTTGTCTCTCACACACACACACCCTGACTGGAGACTGGGCCCACAACCCAGGCATGTGCCCTGACTAGGAATCAACCGGTGACCTTTATCTTTGTGGGATGACGTCTAGCCAACTGAGCTACATCAGTCAGGGCATCACTTTTTCTTTCTATCTTCCATCATGCATTTCACCCTGTTGTGACTTAGTGAGGAGTCACATTTGGACATTTAGTTTTCATTCAGCATATCTGCAGGTTTGTTTTATTGATTTATAGTATTTCCTCTGGAACCTTAGTTTTAATAGAAAATTCTCCAGATTTCTTGTTACTACCTAACTGTAATTGATGTGGATGGAGCCAGAGTATCCCTCAGTGATACAGGAATAGTGCATAACTAGAGAAGGCATAGTTTAAAGACTATTTTAAGACTCCAAAGTTTGGGCCTGTTAATATTAAAGGGCCAGCTATTTTAAGAACTGGTAAGGATAGTGCACCTGAGTTTAAAGCAGGTGGTATATATCTGCTCTCTTCTTTCTTCTTCTCCCTGAGAACAGCTACTTGTGGTAATAGGACCATTAGGATAGTATGGTCTAATGATAGTAAGGCCTGATGTAATGGATGTGATAAAATCTACTGAAAATGTCTTCTTCTAACTACCCTCGTTGAGGGGTTGAAAAAAAGGAAGGGAAGAGAAATGAGAGGAGGGAAGTGAAAAAGAGAGAAGGAGAAGGGTTAGAATAGTGGGGACAAATTACCTTTCTTCTCTGAGAGAATCCCTGGGAAACCAGGGGCTGATTGGATGACTCCTCAACTGCTTAAGGCCAACAATACCTTTTACAACACTCAGGTCAGGAGTGGCCATGCAGGTAATGTAAGAAGTGCATTAAACCAGTTTATGGAGTGGTGGAGCCTGAGGCAAGCCAGAGAGTACCTGCCCTGTCTAAAGGTAGTGGCAGGTCCTCATTATCTGCTGTAGGCATTTACACTTTAAAAACAAGTGTATATTTCAAGGAACCAACCAAATAGGAAACTATTTGCCAATGATACCTCAGACAAGGGTTTGACCTCCAAAATATATAAAGAACTCACACAACTCCACTCCAGAAAGACAAACAATCTAATTAAAAAGTGGCAAAGGACCTGAACAGACATTTCTCCAAGGAGGACATACAGAGGGTCCAGAGACATATAAAAGGATGCTCAGCATCACTAGCCTTCAGAGAAATGCAGATTAAAACCACAACAAGATACTATCCCACACTGGTGAAAATGGCCATTACAAACAAATCAATAAACAAATGTCAGAGAGGTTGTGGAGAAAAAGGAATCCTAGTACACTGTTGGTGGGAATGCAAACTAGTAAAGCTATTGTGGCAAACACTATGGAATTTCCTCAAAAAAACAAAAAATGGAACTGCCTTTTGACCTGGCAATTCCACTGCTGAGATTATACCCTAAGGATTCTGAAACACCAATTCAAAAGAACGTATATGCCCCAATGTTCATAGCCATGCAATTTACAATAGCCAAGTGCTGGAAACAGCTTAAGTGCCCATCACTAAAAGAGTGGATCAGAAAACTGTGGTGCACTTACACAATGGAATACTACACAGAAAGAAAGAAGGAGCTCCTCCCCTTTGTGGCAATATGGATAGAACTGGAGAGTATTATGATAAGTGAAGTAAGCCAGCTGGTGAAAGACAGTTATCATATGATCTCACCTGTAAGTGGGACCTAATCAATAAAATAAGCAAGCAAGCAAAATAAACCAGAGACATTGGAATAAAGAACAAACTGACAGTGACAAGAGGGGAGGAGGGAGGGAGATAATGAGTGAAAGAAGGGGAAGGGTCAAGTGAAGGAACATGTATAAGGGACCCTTGGACAGGGACAATGGCAGGGGAGGACTGAATGTGGGAGAGGTAAGGGTAGGCAGGACAGGGGAGAATAATGGGAAAAGAGGGGGACAGTTGTAATCAAATAACAATAAAAAATAAAATAAGTTGAATTGAAAATATATATTTCATTGCAAAATTCTGGCAAAATATACATCAAACCATTAAGAAGAAATAATGATAAATTTCACTTTCTAGCTATCTGAATTTTTTTTGGTTTTCATCTTATTTTAGTTTTTACTTATTTTTTTCAGTTACAGTTTATATTCAGTATATTTATTAAAGTGTTCAGAGACTTCCACCAAGATGGAGGTATAGGTGGATGTGCCGTGCCTTCTCCTCACACAACCAAGTTTAGGGACAACTAAATATTAGCAACAGACAACGCAACCAGAACACGGAAAATTGAACTTTTCAGAAGTCCGTTAACAACAAATTCTTCACCCTGACCAGTGAGGGGTGAAACCAGCGGCTGGTGAGGGGTTGCACAGGAGGACTCGGTCAGACGGACTCAGGCGCGGAATCCAGACGCGCGAATCCAGACGCAGGGTTGGACCTAGTGAGCCACCGAGCAAGCCACCAGGTGAGCGACTGCGGAGGAGACAGCAGGGAAGTGGTGCTGTGTGTTGACTGTGGTCGCCTATTTGTGCGCAATCAGACAGGCGAGGGAGTGGGCGGTTGGACCGGCGTCCCCGCGGCAAGCGGCAGTAGAGGGCGCCGCCATTTCCCCGCTCTGACCACGCCCCCACATACAGCGTCACAACCCAGCAACCTCGGAGTCCAAGGCGCTGCTTCTCATACTTAAAGGGCCAGAACAGACCAAAAATGTCGCAAATTCTCAAAGTCCCTGAGCCCATAGTTCTAAGCAATGAAGAAATAGCAAAACTCTCAGACGCACAGTTTAAAACACTGGTCATCAGGATCCTCACAGAACTGGTTGATTATAGCCACAAATTAGAGAAACATATGAAGGTGAAACTAATTGAAATGAACTAAATTGCACAGGAAACCAGTAGCGATGAAAAGGAAACTGGGACTCAAATCAATGGAGTGGACCAGAAGAAAGCAAATAATGGCCAAACAGAAAAGAGTCAGGAAGCAAGAATTCAAAGAAATGAGGAGAGTCTTAGGAACCTCCAGGACATCTTTAAACGCTCCAATATCCGAATTATAGGGGTACCAGAAAGGGGAAAGGCACAGCCACCAGTGGAAAACTTATTTGCACAAATAATAAAGGAAAATTTCCCCCAATCTGGCAAAGGAAATAGACTTCCAGGAAATCCAGGAAGCTCAGAGAGTACCAAAGAAGTTGGACCCAAGAAGGAACACACCAAGGCACATCATAATTATATTAGCCAAAATTAAAATGAAGGAGAGAATCCTAGAAGCAGCAAGAGCTAAGGGGACAGTCACCTACAAAGGAGTCCCCATCAGACTGTCAGCAGATTTCTCAAAAGAGACCTTACAGGCAAGAAGGGGCTGGAAAGAGGTATTCCAAGTCATGAAATCCAAAGACCTACAACCAAGATTGCTCTATCCAGCAAAACTTTCATTTAGAATGGAAGGACAGATAAGGTGCTTCTCAGATAAGATCAAATTCAAGGAGTTCATCATCACCAAGCCCTTATTATATGAAATGTTAAAGGGACTTATCTAAGAAAAAGAAGTTAAAGAAACATGAACAGTGAAAGGACAATAAACTCACAGTTATTAACAACCACACCTAAAACAAAAGCAAACTAAAAGGACAGCTAAATCAGGAGTGCAAACATAGAAATGAAGATCTCAAGGAGGGTTAGCAACAGGGGAGTGGGAGGAGGAGATGGGGGGAGAAGGTACAGAAAATAAGTAGCATAGACTGTAGATAGAAAATAGA